GGGCTGGGGCGGGACAGGGCTGCAGCCCTCTCTCTTCCTGTGCCACAGAACCCTGCTGCTGCAGGGAGTCCCCATCAGGGCTGGGTGGTGGCTTTGGGGGTGACAGCTCGGGGACGATGGAGGTGCTGCCACTGTCACAGTGTGACCCTGGATGGACACTCAGAATGACCTGCACTGGGGAGGGCAGTCCTGGGAACGGCCACTGCAGCCCTGCCCAGCCCCCAGTGCTCCCAGTTCAGCCTCACTGGTTGACTGGGAAGGATTTGGGGTTGGTTTGCAGTGGCGAACAGCCCAGCACAGCCCTTGCCCGGGCACAGCGGGGCATTGGCGAGCTGGGGGCTCATTCCACGCCACCTGCCCTCACCTTGGCACTCCTTCCCCCCCAGATCGCTGTCCCCATCGAGGACGTCCACAGGACCCACCTGAGGTTCACCTTCCGCCATCGCTCCTCCAGCGACTGTGAGTGTCCCCGTCCCTCCCTGGCGTGTCCCCTGTCCCCTCCATGTCCCCTGTCCCCTCCATGTCCCCTTCTCCTCACCCCTGCGTGTCCCCCGCAGCCAAGGACAGAAGCGAGAGGATTTTCTCCATGGCTTTCGTCAGGCTGATGCGCCCCGATGGCACCACGCTGCGGGACGGGGAGCACGACCTGGTGCTCTACAAGGTACGAGGGTCCCCAAAACCCCCTGAAACGGGGAGGGGGTCACACTTCTGGGGCCAGGCTCCCCATCTTTGCCTGAGCCTGGTGCTCACGTCCCCAAAGTGCTGGTGGCACGTCCCCAAAGTCCCCGAGGGTTTGCAGTGCCTCCCTGCTGTCCTCGCTGCCCTTGGTGGAGGGGGCTCCCCGCACGCGGCGGCTCCAATCCCCTGCGCTGCTCCTTTGGAATGACAAGTTTGGTTTGGGAAAAGGTGATTTGAGCCTTTGTGACGGGGAGGGAACGTCCCCGCGCTGTGGCTGCGCTTCACCTGATTTCACCAGCCCTGGCAATGCTGGGTTTGCTCCGAGAGAGTAGAGGGGAGGGAAAATCGCTGCTGGTTTGGGAAAAACGCATTCAAAGAGGGGGAAAATCGCTGCTGGTTTGGGAAAAATGCACTCAGGGAGGGAAAAATCACTGCTGGTTTGGGAAAAATGCACTCAGGGAGGGGAAAATCATTGCTGGTTTGGGAAAAATGCACTCAGGGAGGGAAAATCACTGCTGGTTTGGGAAAAACACACTCAGGGAGGGAAAATCACTGCTCGTTTGGGAAAAATGCACTCAGGGAGGGGAAAAGGAAAAATCGCTGCTGGTTTGGGAAGAACGCACTCAGGGAGGAAAAAATCACTGCTGGTTTGGGAAAAATGCACTCAGGGAGGAAAAAATCAGTGCTTGTTTGGGAAAAATGCACTCAGGGAGGGAAAAATCACTGCTGGTTTGGGAAAAACGCACTCAGGGAGGAAAAATCCCTGCTGGTTTGGGAAAAATGCACTCAGGGTGGGAAAAATCACTGCTCGTTTGGGAAAAAATGCACTCAGGGAGGGAAAATCAGTGCCCGTTTGGGAAAAATGCACTCAGCTCCGATGTGAAGGGTCCCTGAAGGCTCTGCCCCCTTATCTGGTGCCCCTGCCCGGGCTGGGGCCGCTGTGAACAGCTGACAGGGAGGTTCAAGCTGGTCCCCACTGCCAGGGCACACTCAGGACCTTTCCCGGTGTGTTGGCACTTTCTGGGGACCCTCCCCAGCCATGGAGCTCCTGTGTCCCCTGGGGGTCACCTGCCCCCCTCGCCCCTGAGCTTCTGCATGGCAGCGTTCTCTGATTTTGGCGATGTGACCGCAGTTTCTCCAGGCAGAGCCCGCCCTGAGTCGCGCCTTTCTTTGGGATGAGCCGAGCCGCTCCCGCCCGATGTGGCAGCCCAGGACAGGGACAGATCGCGCTGTTCCTCCCCGAGGCTCCTGCACATTTGAAATCATTATTATGCCCCTCCTCCCCGCTTTATTTTTGGGCAAAAGACCCAAATTTTTTAACTGCTGCCGTGGCCCTCGGCGCTGGCTCTGGTCCCTGGCGCTCTGGGGACTGTCCCCTYTGCAGCAGGAGTGTTGGGCACCTTTGGGACAGGCCAGTGCTGGCTGTGGCAGTGAGATCAAACCTCCCACACCTTCCTCCTGGGCCCCTGCTCCCCTCAGAGATCTGCCCCTGCTTTCCTCAAGCTCCACATCCTGCTCCCCGGCTGACTCCGGCTCTTCCCGGCASACACCGGGGGCTTGGATTCTGGGAGTCAGAAGCTATTTCATCTTTTCCTCTCTGCTTGCCAGAGGAATGTGAGTGACGGGCTTTTAGCTGCTCAGACCTCTTGATCTCCAGCTGGTCTGAGCTCCAGCCAGCTCTCCCTGCGTGGGTTTGGCCCTTGGGAAGGAGCTCTGGGCTCCCGTGTGTTGGCTGCTCAGAGCAGGTGTCCCAGAGAGGGAAAGGCAGCAGCAAACAGCTCTGTCACCTCCATCTGACCTTCAGCTGGAGAGGTTTCACCCTGAGAGGCTGCAGGCAGGGAAGGATGGATGTGTGTGAGCTGCAGCCTGGCTGGACAGCTCTGATCATCCCCCACCATCCCAGGCTGGCCAGCRAGCAGGGAAAGGTCATACAGAGTGACCCCAGTGAGTCCTTCTGGATGGAAAATMGATTAAATTTTCAGCTTAGAGTCGGGGATATAAAAAAAGGGTTGTTTTGTGCCTTTGGAGGCCCTGGTATGCCCATACAGATGGGAGATGTAGGGTGACAGTGATGCTGTGGGACCGGCTGTGCTGGACACCTGAGTGCTGTCCCTGCTCTGTGTCCCTGTCCCTGCTCTGTGTCCCTGTCCCTGTGTGTGCTGCTGTGCCCAGCCTCAGCCTCCTCTTTGTCACTCTTCTCCTCCTGCCTGTTCTCCTGTCCCCGCTGTGTGACACATTTGGGATCTGGTGTCCCTGCCTGCAGATCCCCTCAGGGAGCAGCGCTGTGGGATCGCTGTGGGGCAGCCAGAGGGTCCCCAGGGGTGGGATGAGGGTCCTGTACAGCGGGATCCACCAGCCATGGGGTCAGAACTGAGCCCCCAAACCACACGCGGGGCCAGCCCTGTCCCTTCAGGCTCCGTGCTCCCCAGGGGGACAACAAGAAGCTGGAAGATGCCAGCGTGTACCTGTCCCTGCCCTCGGAGAGGAGCCTGTCCGAGTCRAAGCTGCTCTCGGGCTCCTCGTTCCGTGTGAGCAGCTCCACACCAGCTCTGGCTGTGTCCGGCCGGGACAGCTTCCAGATCTCCACGCTCGTCTGCTCCACCAAACTGACCCAGAACGGTGAGTTTTGGCTCTCCATGGCGGGGCAGGCAGGGCTGTGTCCCCTCCTSGTGGTGTTTTCAACCACTGGATCACACTTCTCCTTGGATGTTTGGCTTCATTGCACTGGGATGGAGCTGGAAACACTGGGAGAGTGGGAACAGTGATGCTCAGTTACTGTTTGGCCATGGTCAGAATGGCCAAGGCTGTTCCTGGGAGGATTTGTGTGATCCTGGGAAGATTTGTGTGATCCTCGGATTTTTTTGGGGGGCTGTTACCATCCCCTGGAGAAGAGCAGCAGCGAGTGGAATTTCCATTTGAACGTGGCTGTTGGAGACTCCGTGACCTTGCATTGAAATTGGGGTGGGAATTGGGGATTTCTGGTTTCACCCCTCATTTCTGGGTTAGCTCCGGGGAGTTTCCAGCCCTTGGGCTGCTCTGCACAGGTCAGGGCAGCCAAGAACATTTGTGCCCCCTTGGCCCAGACACATTCCCCYTCAGCCAGGGGAAAGGCCCCTGGGAATGCTGGGCTCTCCTCCCACCCWCTGCAAGGCTGGGAGATGGGAATGGCTCATCCAGCTCTGGCTGAAGTGCAGGGACACGGGGGGACTCAGGGGACATGGCCCCGTGGTGCGGGGATGTGACACACGGTGACACACTGGTGGTTCAGCRTGGAGGGGTCAGGGATGAGGCTGCTCCATTAATTCCCATCCTACGGCCCAACTTTATCTCCCACAGCCACGACCTATTTAAAGTTTGTGCTTTATGGGGATTTCAGCGCTGAGGGGAGGCTGTGGGAAGGGGTGAGGTGGTTCTGGATGTTCCTGGGCAGTGAGGGTGAGATGGGGGAGCTGTGGTCTGGCAGTGAGTGGTCAGTGCTGACCRCCCCATCCCTCCTGCCCAGTGAACCTGCTGGGGCTGCTGAAGTGGCGCTCCAAGCCCAGYCTGCTCCGCGGGAACCTCCAGAAGCTGATGAACGTGGATGGAGGGGAGGTCATCAAGGTACAGCCAGGATGTGTTCCCCCCTCTCCCTTCCCTTGGACCCCTCCCACACCCAGAGCTGGGCGTTGGACAGTGCTGGGGTCAGCGCTGAGGCCCTCACAGCTCCCCTGTCCCCCCAGTTCCTCCAGGACACGCTGGACGCTCTGTTCTCCATCATGATGGAGCACTCAGAGACAGATACCTACGACACCCTCGTGTTTGACGCCCTGGTGAGCAGCACCCGACTGGGTCTGAGCCCCCCAGTGCGGGGTGGGCACTGCTTGGACTGGGCTGATGGGGTTCAGGGGTCTGAGTGACCAGCACAGGGTAGGGCCATGCTCTGGGGGACACTGTCCTTCTAGGGGACAACCCCAGCACGATTCAAAAGCGTTTCTCCCACACCAAATGTGACCCTGGCGATGTGACCGGGAGAGGGTRGGGGTCAGGGTGGCTGTTGCTGTCYCCTCYRCCCACACCAAGCCRTGCCCCTGCCCTCTGCCCCCAGGTTTTCATCGTGGGGCTGGTGGCCGACAGAAAGTTCCAGCATTTCAACACGGTCCTGGAGGCCTACATCCGCCAGCACTTCAGYGCCACGCTCGCCTACAAGTGCGTCCCTGGGGGCTGTGACACCGGGAGGGATGGGCTGGGATGGCTGGAATGGGAGAGAACGGGGTGGAACGGGACTGGGATAGTGGGTGCAGGGAGGGGCAGGGCTGGAATGCTGAGAGCACCCATGGGAGCTGAGCCATGGCCGTGCCATCCCGCAGGAAGCTGCTGTCGGTGCTGACGCAGTAYGTGGAGCAGGCGGGCCGGGGGGAGCCCTGCGAGCCCCTCCCGCGCACCTTCAAAGCCTTGGAGTATCTCTTCAAGTTCATCGTCCGCTCCCGCCGCCTCTTCGCCCAGTAAGTGCCCAGTGCT